CTGACCGAACTGATCTGGATCTTAAGCTCGAGCTGCCTGAACACATAGTAGCTGCCCCAGAGCTAATGGACAGGGGAACATGCCAGGAGGACGCGACGCAGAACGTCTCAAGGGACGCGCCAAGCGACGTGCCAAGGGACGTGCCATGGGGACGCATCGCGGGACCTGCCAAGGGGACGCGCTACGGAACGTGCTGGGGACAAGCGTTTCGCTCGAGACATCCTGTCAAAATCATCTGAATTCCTACGCGCGGGACGCTGCACGCGCGAGACATCCTCGGAATTCCTGCGAGCGGGACGTGAAAACAAGCATTTCGCCTGAGACATCCTTTGAATTCTGGCCCCCCACGAGGCCACCGCTCGAGACATCCTCCAATTTTGCAAAACCAGCGTTTCGCTCGAGACATCCTCAACAAATTATGAAAAACAAGCGTTTCGCTCGAGACATCCTGTCAAAATCCCAAGAAATCCAAATACCCGCGCGCGGGACGCGGCACGCGCGAGACATCCTTGGAATTCCTGCGCGAGGGGCGCTTTGCCGTGTCGCGGTCGGCTTTGCAAAACCAGCGTCGTGTCGCTCGAGACATCCTCAACAAATTCTGAAACCAAGCGTTTCGCTCGATCGAGACATCCCCAACTCTGCAAAACCAGCGTCTCGCTCGAGACATCCTCAACAAATTCTGAAAAACAAGCGTTTCGCTCGAGACATCCTCAAATTTTAATTCGCCGGCCCTCTTCCCACTTCGTTATTTATCGCAAAAGAAATTCGCCGGCCCTCTTCCCGTCAAACCCGGGGGGGGAACCATCTAAAAGAGAACCCTGGGCTCAAGCCCTTTCCGGGACATGATGGACCCACGAACCCGGAAAGGGATATAGACATGTGGAGCATGGACACGTTTTCACGATACCCAACTGGGCAACACCTCACGAAACATCCCACGAGACACCTCACGAAACATCCCACGAGACACCTCACGAAACATTCCGCGAGACACCTCACGAAACATTCCAGGAGACACCCCGCGAAACATTCCACGAGACACCCCACGAAACATTCCACGACGACAGGCAACCACTCAACCAAGGCGGTGTGGTCGTGCTGGGGAGTGGTCGTGCTGGGGTGTGGTCGTGCTGGGGGGTGGTCGTGCTGGGGTGTGGTCGTGCTGGGGGGGTGGTCGTGCTGGGGGGTGGTTCGTGCTGGGGCGTGGTCGTGCTGGGGCGTGGTCGTGCTGGGGCGTGGTCGTGCTGTGGTGAGGTCGTGCTGGGGTGTGGTCGTGCTGGGGTGTGGTCTTGCTAGGGTGGGGTCGTGCTGGGGTGGGGTCGTGCTGGGGTGGGGTCGTGCTGGGGTGTGGTCGTGCTGGGGTGTGGTCGTGCTGGGGTGTGGTCGTGCTGGGGTGTGGTCGTGCTGGGGAGTGGTCGTGCTGGGGGTGGTCGGCTGGGGGGTGGTCGTGCTGGGGGGTGGTCGTGCTGGGGGGGGTGGTCGTGCTGGGGGGTGGTCGTGCTGGGGCGTGGTCGTGCTGGGGCGTGGTCGTGTGCGTGGTCGTGCGTGGTCGTGCTGGGGTGTGGTCGTGCTGGGGTGTGGTCGTGCTGGGGTGTGGTCTTGCTGGGGTAGGGTCGTGCTGGGGTCGGGTCGTGCTGGGGTGTGGTCGTGCTGGGGTATGGTCGTGCTGGGGTGGGGTCGTGCTGGGGTGGGGTCGTGCTGGGGTCTGGTCGTGCTGGGGTGTGGTCGTGCTGGGGTATGGTCGTGCTAGGGTGGGGTCGTGCATTTCGCTCGAGACATCCTGCCAAAATTCCAGGAAATCGTACAAAAACAAAGGAATTAGTCGAGACATCATCGAAATTCCTTCGCGCGGGGCGCTTTTCCGCGTCGCGGTCGGCTCTGCAAAACAAGCGTTTCGCTCGAGACATCCTCGGCAAACTCTGCGGAGCAAGCGTTTCGCTCGAGACATCCTCAACACACGAAAAAGTGGCCCGCACCCTGTGATTTATCGATCGGGATTTCAAAAACAAGCGTTTCGCTCGAGACATCCTCAAATTTTAATTCGCCGGCCTCCTTCGACCTCGTTATTTATCAGGGAAAAAATTCGCCGGCCTCCCTCAAGTTGGCACCGGGGGACAGGTTTACCTACTAAAAGAGAACCCTGGGCCGATGCCCTTTCCGGGAAAAAAAACACCCTCGCTGCTGCTTCTGCTGCCCTTCTAGCTGTTATCTACATGCCTCCCGGCATATCCCGCCGCCGTGCCTGGGTAGTGGGTATGCGGGTTATTGGATGCGGCCGTTTCGTTTTGGGACTTTTGGGAGCCTCTTTTGGGTCCTCGTTTTGAAGAGACAGCGCCAGTCGGGCTGGCTGGTTCGGCCTCGTTTAACGTTTGGCTGGTTCGGCCACAGGGTTCGCATGCCTCCCCGACCCCCATTTCGGCAACCAGCAGGAGAGGGGGGTCAGCCGAAGCAGCTGAGGGTGGATGGGTCAGCCGAAGCAGGTAACAGACGAAGGGGGAGCAGATCCAGCCGCGGCGACGAGGGCGTCAGGAAAGGCCGAACCAGCCGAAGAGGACCAGGAAAAAACGAAAAGCGTCAGAACCCCCTCCCCCCTCCTCCTCCCCCCTCCTCCCTCCTCCTCCCTCCTCCTTCCTCTCCTCCTCCTCTTCCCTCCCCCTCCTCCTCCTCCTCTCCCTCATTCCTCCTCCTCTTCCTCCTCGCCGAGCTCCTCCTCATCCTCCTCCTCCTCCCCCCCCCCCGGGCGCGCGGGGCGGCGCCTCGGCGAGGTGGTCGACGCGACGGTCTCGACGAGACCGTCGTCGTCGTCCCCGCCTGCCGGCCCAGGGCGTGCTCAGGGCGAAGAGGAGGGGGGGGGAAGTCCTAGGAGGGGAGGCAGATCCAGCCGCGGCGACGAGGGCGTCAGGAAAGGCCGAACCAGCCGAAGAGGACCAGGAAAAAACGAAAAGCGTCAGAACCCCCTCCCCCCTCCTCCTCCCCCCTCCTCCCTCGTCCTCACTCCTCCTCCCTCCTCCTCCCTCCTCCCTCCTCCTCCTCTTCCCTCCCCCTCCTCCTCCTCCTCCTCCTCTTCCTCATTCCTCCTCCTCTTCCTCCTCCTCCGTGTGTTTTTACGTGAGGCGCGCCACTTGGCTTGCCACTTGGCTTGTACGTAAAAAACATTGCTGGCGGCAACTTATCCTCCTCCTCCTCCTCATCCTACTCCTTCTCCTCCTTCTCCTCCTCATCCTCCTCCTTCTTCTTTCTCCCCCCTCCTCCTCCTTCTCCCCCTCCTCCTGGGCCACGACGTGCGAGCGGTGCCGAAGCGTCGTGCAGGCAGGCAAGACGATACCTTCGATACCACTAAGACCAGCCCAGCTGGCGCCCGGGCCCTTCTGGCCTGGGGGTGACGCCAGGTCGAAGTGATGTATTGTGTCTATGTGCTTGCGCTTTCTTTTCGGAACCAAGGGTTGCACTAGGGGCTCTTATTTGCACCGCTAAGGGATTCGATCGTCGTGGCGAGGCTTCGCCCGGTGCTCGCCCGTGGGCGCCTCGTGCGCTGGGAGGGTCTGGCGAGGGTTCGCCCGGTGCCCGCCCGTGACCGTCCGCGGGCGCCCCGTGGGGTGCCTCGTGCGCGGGGAGGGCGTGTCGAGATTTCGCCTGTGGCTTCGCCTGCACCCCGTAAGTTCCACCACGCAGCTTGCACCACATGACCTGCTTCACCAAGCCTGCGGGGAGGCCCGGCACAAGGGCAAGTCCAAGGACGTGGCGGTGAACCTCGTGGACATCGAGCACGTCGGGGACTAAGCGAGTGGGCCCCCGAGGGGGCCTACGAACCGTGCGGCCAGGCGAGCACAGCCTGACTGTGTGGTCAGTGGAGAACAAAAAGACGTTATCACGCGTATGGCACCGCATTGTTTACACCACTTGGCTTACACCACAGCGCCACACCGCTTACACCGCATAGCCCGTACCACATTGCTTGGATTTGACAGCGAATGCAACAACAGGTGTACCGCATAGCACTCACCCACATACCCTACATCACACACACGTTGCACCACCTAGCTAACATCACATACGCTGCACCACTTAGTTTGCAGATCCACGGAGTAATACCTCACTGCTTGGGGTCGCGCTGGCAACCACGTTTCGAATCAGTCACGACGGCATTCCAGTTATAGATACGGGGCTGGGAGGTGCAGGAGGCGGTCGACGAGGATTTGAAGAGCGGGGAGATAATGGCGACGACGACGAGAGTGATGATGATAATGATGACGAGGACGATACTGATGATGAAATCAGGCGTGGAAGAAGGAACAAGAAGAGAAGGGGACGCTGCGCCGGAGGAAAAGGCGCAGTCGAAGGAGAGGGACGGAGCGGGGGCAGGACAACGAGGAACAAGTCTGATGAAACATGGCGCGATTCCGAAATCAACCGTTTGATTCGGGCGTGGCCCGCCTCGTCCATAATATTTGGCGACGCCATAGTGCGAGCCCCGTTCGCCCCAGCCTTCCAGCGGAATGGTCGCTTCAATCCTGGAGTGCTTCGCATATTTCTCCAACTTGGCGATGCGTTTCGAACCCCGGCCCCGTCAAGAGACATATTCTGATAATTGTTATATGTGTCTAACCTTTGGTAACGAGATGTGGTCGTTTGCTTTAATTTGCTCACGTGGTGTTGTCATGCGCGGGTGAGTCCGCTGGCCGCGTGTTGCCTTCCATTGATATTGTTATCGTTGGCCGTCGTGTTGTGTCATGTCTGCGTGTAGCGTGACACGTTTGTTGTAGCCCCTGGCAGGTAGCAGCTTACTTGACGTGATAATGTTTGAAAATGTAAAGAGAATGCTTCCCGAACGCGAATTCATGTCTGCACGAGCACGAAATTACTCGGGAGGCCTGGGCAAATTCGTAGCCCATGTTTTGCCCCACTGTGTATCCAAGGGAACAGCTTATGTGAGATAACAGGTCAGCCACGTGGAACAGGTCGAGAGCTCCGGCGCTTGCGATTGGCAAAATCAATACACCATGGGTGTCGGACCAGGTCCCCAGATTCGTGGGACGGCTTTCGAGCGTTTGCATTTCATCCCGCTCGCCCTCCTGCATGCCCTGTGGAACAACAGGCTGCCGCATTCCCGCGCGCAGCGGTGCGAGCAACGCAGCCGAAGGTCAAGATCTGCTTTCTTTTCTCTCGTTTTAAGACGCCTCGCCGCCGCCGTGCCGTGGTCACTAGAAGGAGACACCGAGCAGTTCGCGACCGCGACGTACCGAGGGCAGAACTTGTTCGATGTTCTCTACGGCGATGCGGAGGCTACTTTCTCCTCCCGTTCCTTCCTCACCGCTCCTCCTGCTCGTCCTTCTTTCATCTTCTATTCCGCCCGTTCCCTCCCGCTCCTCCTTCTCCTCCTCCCCCATCATGTTTCCTATGGTTTGCCGGGCTGCCCTCCGTAGCCGATGCACCCAGCGGCGTGGACTCGCTGCCGCTGGCCTTGGCGGGCGTGTCGCGCAGGCCATCGCGGAGACGGCGACGGGCCAGCATCCCCCTGGGCCGACTGTACCAACGCGGGGCTGCGTCGGGGGTCAATGCAAACGGAGGTCAGCCATAGCGCCCGATTGTGCAGGATCCTGCAGGGCCAGGGTCGCATTGACCCGGGTTTGGGTGCAGGAGCTGCAGGATTTTACAGGATCTTTCGCATTGACCCGGGTTTGGGCGCAGGATCTTGCGGGATTTTGCAAGGCTTGACTGGCCCGGGTCTGGATTGACCCGGGTCAGCAGGTCCCCGACTGCGTTAGCTGATCCCGAGATTTGGCAATTTGTTGGAGCTGATCTTGTGCGCGGCAACTAAGATCCATAGAAGTTTGCATGCGACATTTGAGCTCTGGACTAGACCTATGACTCGACCTATGATCCAAGCTCGGGTGTTGCTAGAAATAGCCCTGGCCCAAGGTACCCCCCGGATTCTCGGCGTGGCCCAGGAGGCCTCCAGGGCACCCCCCAGGGGCTCCAAAATGGAGCGGAAAGCTGGGGACAACTTGGGCCAGGGGCACTTCTGGCAACACCCGACGAGGACCTGTTTGGAGCACTGCGGCACGCCACGACCGCGAGCGCAGGCGCAGAGAACCGCCTGCGGCCTTGCGCTGTTGTCCAGAGGTTCCCGGATTCAGGGGAACGAACCATGGCATAAACATGACAACTCGGAGGTCCGCGCGGATTTCTCGGATCGGCGCCAGGGCCCCCCTGGCGGCGCCTCCCCTGGCGCGCTCCGCGCGCCAGGGAGGGGGGTCCCGCGCAGATCCGAGCAATCCGCGCGGACCTCCGACTTTTTATGTTTATGGCATTGTGCGAGTGTGTTCCCAAGGATTGGATTCCGAAAGCTGAGCTCGACACGATCGATGTAGATGGATCTTGGGAGGCCTTGAGAGGTTGCCAGAGCTCCTCCAGGCCTGTCGCAGCGCTGCAGCCAAGGCACTGTTTAAGAGCCGGGCCTGGACGACCTCCTGTCGGCTGCCGATCTCATAGCTGGGAGAACGAAGAATGACATAAACATAAAAACTCGGAGGTCCGCCAGATTTCTCGGGTCGGCGCTGGACCCCCCTGCTTGGCGCGCGGAGCGCGCCAGGGGCGGCGCCGGAGGCACCGCCAGGGGGGTTTGGCGCCGATCCGAGAAATCTGCGCGGACCTCAGAGTTTATGTCGTTCTCCGTTCCCCTAATAGCGCCCTTGCCTTTTTGTTGGGTGCCCGTGCCAGGGGGATGACCAGGCGCACCATTACCTCCGCTGAGGGCTCCTCTGGGTCCCCATCTCTGACGCGTGAGCTGGCCCACTCCTGGCTGCTCCACTGACAATGTGCCTGGGGCTCGTGCTTGCGAAGCTGCGCCTTCCTCGCGAGGCTGTCATCCCGGGGATCTGTGGCAGCCGACCGCGTCGCCCTCAGGTCAGCCCGAACGCAAGTCGAGCTTGCAACGCCCAGGGTTCAATCCGCTTCTCTCCAAGCCCAGCAGCGCGCCCACGCACAATGCTCGCCTGGGCCCTTGGACGGGCCGCCTGAGCCACGGGCCCTCTTCTCCCTCCGCGTCCTCTGGATCCTGTTTCTCCTCCCCGAACACCTCATCTTCAATCACCCTCTTCTCCTCCGCCCCCTCCTCCTCCCCGTCGTTCTTCTCCCTCTGTCCCCTCCTCCCTTCCCAAGCCCCCCCCGCTTTCTCGCCCCATTATCCTGCTCACCCGCCACGACCTCCTCCTCTCCTCCTCTCCTCCTCCTCCTCCTCCTCCTCCTCCTCCTCCTCCTCCTCCTCCTCTCCCTCCTCCTCCTCCTCCTCCTCCCTCCTCCTCCTCCTCCTCCTCCCCCTCCCCCTCCCCCCCTCCTCCTCCTCCTCCTCCTCCTCCTCCTCCTCCTCCTCCTCCTCCGCCTCCCCTCCTCCTCCTCTCCTCCTCCTCCTCCTCCTCCTTCCTCCTCCTCCTCCTCCTCCTCCCCTCCTCCTCCTCCTCCTCCTCCCCCTCCTCCCCTCTTCCTCCCCCTCCTCTCCTCCTCCTCCTCCTCCTCCTCCTCCTCCTCCTCCTGGGCCTCCTCCTGTCCTCCTCCTCCTCCTCCTCCTCCGCTTCCTCGTCCTCTTCTTCCTCCTCCTCCGCCTCCTCCTCCTCCTCCTCCTCCTCCCTCTCCTCCTCCCTCCTCCTCCTCCTCCTCCTCCTCCCTCCTCCTCCTCTTCCTCCTCCTCCTCCTCCTCCTCCTCCTCCTCCTCCTCCTCCCATCCCCCCTCCTCCTCCTCATCCTCCTCCTCCTCCTCCTCCCTCCTCCTCCTCCTCCTCCTCCTCCTCCTCCTCCTCCTCCTACTCCTCCTCCTCCTCCTCCTCCTCCTCCTCCTCCTCCTCCTCCTCCTGTCGATCCTGTCGATCCTTGCGCAGCCAAGCTCCTCCAGGCGAGAACATTGGGCGGCGGGCGACGGCGAGCGACGCGAAAAACGAGGCCAGGGCCAGCAGGCGCGCGACCGCACCGCTAAGGCCCCGACCGATGGAGGGGTACAGGCCGACCCACGAAGGATTTGGTGGACGGACCCTTCCCCTCCTTCAGCTGCTTTAGGGTCTTCTCCGCTGGCTTGTTGGGAGGCGCGCCAGGGCACGGACCTCCCAACAGGCACATCTTGACAGACCCGAATGCAGCGCACGAATTACACCACACGACACGGCCGCCACTAATCCAGAGCTTATGGCTGGTGTGGGCCAGCCTGGCCAGCCTGGGGAGGCCAGAGCACGGCAGTGCGCACACTGACGATTCTGAAAACCCCGAGGCGCCACAGTTCACACAACGGTAGGCCCCCTTCCCCTTAGTGCCCGTCTTGTGGACAGCGTGCCCCTTGAACTCACAGACCAAAACTAAAGGGTCATGCTTGGGGCGGGGAGGGGCCTTACATTTCTGGACGTCGGGGAAATTATTCTTACTGAGCATCCCCCCGAAACACGCAATAAACCTACTGAAGTCTGCTACCTCCGAACTTCTTTGTCTCTGGAGGGCGCGGAGGCGAGGATTGCAAGGGTGCTCCTGGGCTCCGCGCTTAGCAAGACCGTCAGCAATGCCGTTGCCGACCCAGGCCCAATGGGGGGCCTCCGAGGTCTCAAGGCATCTACTCCAGGAAATGTGACTCTTAATTTTGTGCAGGCAGATCAGTTCTTGTCCTATATCCAGAACACGATTCCAGACGAGCTCCCAGACCTCCGAGAACGCCACCTCAGACATGTCCGACTCGGGCCCGCGGGCCCAAACGTCCAAGACGGCTTGGCAATCTGTGTAGATCTGGGTGCACTGCGAGGGCCCAGTGAGCTTGAGGGTCATCAGCAAAGCATATAGTTCACCAGCTCCTGATTCCTGGACAGGATGAGGAAGGGGTCCAAACGCACTGCCCTCGCAACGACTGCTCTGATCCATGGCCACCACTGCCCAACCTGCACGAGCCGCATACAGGGAGGTCGTGTCAAAGCCTGAGCCGTCGATGCATATCCTGCTGCCTAGGAAACCTGCTTCTGGCATTTTTCCCACCGCCAAACCTCGGCTGTGGAGACCTTGGGCCAGCCATAACCTGGGTCAGCAATGAGCGCTCTCGTTGACAAGAAATCGTAGGCGCCCAGCTGCAAACCTCTGTCCGCGCACTGCGGCAGGTCTAAGTCCCGCCTAAACAGAAGGAAACCATCACACTGGTATAAACGATGCTGAGGCGTGCCGTTATACATGCCGCAGACCCTGCACAGCGGCGCGATGGCTCGCATGCCCTGGAACAAAACATCCTGAGTGGGATGGCCTCCTGCGACTACATTACACAGAAAGGAGGCAGCTGAGTTTCTCCCCGCTTTCCTGAGGCCTCTTAGGGTATCCACGATGGGCCCCAGGAGGGGAGGAACCACGCGCTCAGGAGCATCGGGATCAGGGACCCCAACATGCTCCAGGAGCCTCATATGTGTACTGTAGTCTATCAACTTAGTAAGGGTGCGCTTCCCGAAGTGGTTGAGGCCCAGTAAGAAGCGCTCATGCCTATGACCGCTGTGCCGTAGCAAGCTGCTGGCAATCCACCTGTCTTCACGACCTGGCACAAGCCCGAGTAGCCCGAGCGAAGGCCCCTAAATCGGCGAACTCGGGGCCCCAAACTCTCCCATCTCGATCCCTGGACTGGAGTTCGGCGCCGACCTGCAGTGTAGTCAACCCCTAGGTTACGAGCCGATTTGACCACTTGGAATTTCCAACGCAAGAGTCGCGTGATCACCCGAATTTCAATATCCCGAGACGTCGCCGTGATCAGGCCTTTCGTGGGAGAGATCAGGAAACCAAGTTTCTCAAGATTGCTGCACAGCGTAAACGTAGCATCGGCCGCCGTTCTCGCCACCGCCCTAGCCTTACCTGTAGCACCGCACGTAATATCATCAACTACCCTGTAGATCCGAACCGACGGGAATTGCGAAACCACCTGGTCTAGCGGGTCGAGAAGGAGGCACTTTAGCAGGGTGGTGGCGAACGTACAACCCGCCAAGATCGCCTGGATGCAGGCGACAAACTCAGAGCAGACCCTGCCCACCTGCAAGACCCTCTGGCCCCTGTACAAGCAGAGGAGGTAGCGCAGGCGGTACAAAGGAAAGTCGTGCTTGATGGCCGCCGAGGCCAAGAAGAAATGCACCACCTTCTCATAGCACTTGGTCATATCGACCAGGACAGACGCTGCAGAGTGCCCAAAAACGTACGCGCGCTTCATCCTGATAGCCTGCTCCCAAACAGCTCTTCCACACGAACGCCCCTTGCTTCCGAAATGGCAAGGCCTGTCATGGGCCCG